GCCCAGCCTTGAAGCCTGTAGGCCCTTAGTGCGAGCCTCATTTCTGCTGCTCTTTAGCTGTGTGATAGAACAGGAGGTCGGCGCTGCCGTTCCAATTGCAGAGCTCAGAGGCATGAGAGGAGAGGATCCAGTGGCACACGGAGCTGTCATGAGGACTCCCTGCTGCTGGTCATGGTCATGCTGACAGAATTCCTGATACACTTGTCCTCTAACCTGTGATTTCAGTGACAGAGAAGACTTAAAAATGCAAATGGTCTGCAATCTCCTGGAATGGAGTGTGCTGTGTCCATATCATACTGAAGAGGGAGACTCAGGCATCTCGGATCAACTTCCCCTTTTTCCGAAGACTATAAACTTCCCCTTTTCATTCCTAAGACTGTAAACCAAAGCCCTTTTCATATGTAATTCCTGAGACTGTAAACCGAGATCCTTTTCATATGTAATTCCTGAGACTGTAAACTGAAACCCTTTTCATATGTTAAGCTATAAACCTAAGATTCTTCCATGTGTAACATCTAAGGTATAAGCCTACATAAAGATGGAACCTTTCTTTCTTAGGCGAGCTTGGCTGTTAGGCAACTATGCCACCTTGCTCCTGGCCGAATAAACTCCTTCCTCCTGTGTTCGGTGTCTGAGAGATCCATTTCCCGTGGCAGCTCCTGCTACAATACACTTATTGTTGTATGTAAATGGCCTGTGATCTCATGGACTGCAGTGAGTTGTGGCCACATCATACACTTATTGTCGGCTGGTCGTAGTGTCCAGGGTCCAGCTACAGAGATTCCTTCTTAGTTTCTGAAGATTCTAAGCACCTCCTGATTTTCAAAGAAGCATTTCTCTACTTCGCATCCCTTAGGATGGCTATTATAGAAAACAAACAAACAAACTGGAAAAGAACAAGTGTTGGTGAGGATGTAAAGACACTGGAGCTCTTGTGTGCTGTTGGTGGGAATGCAAGATGGTGCAGCTGCTGTGGAAGACAATATGGCAGTTCCTCAAAACATCAAACATTGAGTTGTCATATGATTCCGAAATTTCACTTCTGGGTATACATACAACAGAACTGAAGTGGGTCTCCAAGAGATTGTACACCTGTGTTTCCAACAGTCAGAAGGTGAATGTAACCCTCAGTTGAGAGGATCAGCAGTATGTGGTGTATGCAGACAATGGCATGTTGTTCATCCTTCATCAAAAAGGAAATTCAACACATGCTGTCACATGGGTGAGCCTTGAGGATATTATGCTAAGCAGAATAATCTAGCCATGAAAGGACAAATTCTATAGGTTTCCAATCATATAAGGTACATAGAGTGGTCAAATCCATAGTGAGATAAAGTTGAGGGGCAGCTGACAGAGGCTGGGGAAAGGGAAGTAGGGGGTTCCTCTCTAAAGGGGCAGAGCTTCTGTTTTGCTATTGAGGAGAGTTCTGGAGGTGGCTTGTGGTGCCTGCACAGCAACTGGAATGTACTTAATGCCACCTAAACACGATGAGAATGATAAACTCTATGTGTCTTTTACCACACACAGAAGAGGCATTGTGAGGATGACTCTTATTTGAGGATTTCATAAGCACTTAGTGGAATATTCTGGAAGCCCCTGGGAGTCACAAAATGCATTTCACAGTCCATAGCCATGCCCACAGGCAAATGCAGAGTCCATTTATGGTCCTGACCTTTAAATAAACCAAAAATGTTGATTTTATTACTGGCAGAAATGATTATGAGAAGACAGAGGACAAGCTTTCTCTAGCTGTAGCCCAGTAGATTTCAGAAAGAGAAACAAAGAACGGAGTTTTACAGCTGAGAGCATTGTCTCCGTGTGGAGAAGAATTCATCACTCCAGTGGAAAACGAAGCTCCTGGCTGTCCTCCCCGGATCTGCCAGAATTCTAACGGTGCTGGTTCTCACGACTGTCAGACTTGATGGTGCCCCGACTCATCACGAGGGAGTCACACGAGAAAAGAAACTGGAACTTGCTACTGGCAGCAAAACAGCTGTGGTTCTGAGACTCGCCATTCACTGTCTGTTCAGTTTCCTTCTGAGTCATTTCCTTGTTCAGAGACAATAACCTGGAGAAGAACAGACCCCTGTTATCGCATCTCCTTGGCAAGCCCCCGTCTGTGTGCAGTGCTGTGGGCGCCCCTTCGCTCCTATGAAGGGGTGGGGCTGGCCACGTGAGAAACATCCCCGGTGGAGGGGGTGGTGCTTGTGTGACCCTCAGCCTCCCGAGGGACAAGGAAAGTTCCACTGCACAGATGTGAGAAGCAAAATGAGGCGCACAGAACGGCCATAAAATATCCAAAAAGGATCTACTGCACAAGAACAATGATCATCAACCATTGATTTAACAGAACTTTTCAAACTGCAGTTCACTAAACACGCTTCCCATGCCAGGTTCTGTGTTGAGAATACAGAGGGGAAAACGATGTCCCCACAGGCTCCACAATCTGGTTGGGGAAGTGAGCAATGAAAGTCGAACTGTATCATCTCTTAAAAACAGCAAATTAGTATTTGCTGAATGCTTATGACATACCAGGCTATGTGCTAAATGCTTGGTGTTATTTTACTTAATCCCCACCATAATCCCACACTGTAGGTTTTACTCTCCCCATTTTACAGAACGAGCAAGTTGAGAGCAGTGCAGTGATTTGTCCCAGGTCACTGAGCTAAGAAGTCATGGGGCAGGATGCTGTTGCCTGGGCCCTGAGTCACTCACCAGGCATGGCTCAGACCTGACTGCGCATTGATGGAATTAACAAGGGGACTTCAGGCCTACCAGTGCCCAGGCTCCTCCCTAGGCAACTGAATCAGAACACCGGGGGCTGGCAGAGGCATTAGGGCCTCCTAAAAGCTCTGGACCCCCAGGCCTGCAGTGCTGCATCAGGCATGCCCGTGAGCAGAGTGGAGGCTCCCAGCTCTGCCCAGGTGATGTCAGAACATGAGAGACAGTAGTGCAGAGCTGAGACCACCCAGAGACGGGAATTTTGCCCAGGCTAAAATTGCCCTCAGGGAAGGCAGAGTGTACAGGAAGCTGCGGCACCCTGGAGAAGAGAGCGCACCCCAGGGAAAAAGCCGCAGATCACGGGGTTTGGGAGCATCAGTAGCCCCGTGACTGCCCCGTGCACAGTGCTGGCCTGCGGAGCCTTTCCTGTGAGTGGAGGGGCTGGCTGCGGGGGTCTGTTGCTACAGGGCATCTTCAGGTGACCGTGCCGCTTCAGTGCGTGGATTCCACCTGTGCAGAGTTACGGATCTCAACATCCAACAGCAGAAAAACAGTTCAGACGTACCCATGGTGAGGACTATTGTGTAATCGTGCAAAGAGTGCTTATGGGGAATTTATTATGACATGAAAATGATTCTGTTAAATGTTAGGTTTTTCAAAGCAGCATTTAAAATTAAATACGCATTACGATCAGGGGAAGAAAAATGAAGACATTTCTGTCTCAAGGGAAGAAAAGAGGCACAGTGCAGAACGTGTCTACTTCAGAGAGTTTTATTCAGACCCCTCACAGCTGTCTGGTCATTGTTCCCTTCTTAGCACTTTGAAATTTCACTCACTTTGGAGGAAATAAAACCTGAGACAGTAGCAAAGTCGTGCTAGTACAATTCCAAATGATACTCCTTTTGTGAGGCCGATTTTTACATCCTTCCTCAGCAGAACAGGCTGAACCCACTCCCACAGTTCAAATCTGCTTCTGCTTAGGAACCTCCCTGGCAGGCCAGCAGCTCTGCAGATGGGAGATTTGCCATTTTCTATTGCCTAAAGCCGTCAGTTTCCACCTCGCATTTGACAGAAAGCCTGTGACTCCCGCCGTGGGAAAAGCAGCGGTGTCTGCATAGGAATAACATGTGTGCAGCTCCAGGGAGGCTCAAGGGCGGCTGCATGAGGCCCAGGTCATGGCATGGCAGGCCTTCCGCCTCCTCTGGGAATGGTGGCGACTGCTTTTGGCCCTAAGCAAACTTCTAGGTTTGAGCAGAGAGAGATAAGGCGACAAGGAAAGTGACTTTGGAAATCCTTTATCGTCACCGTGAGACTTAGTTTTGGAATACAGTTTATGAGGAATGAGATGAAAAGACGCAGCCATTGCAATGGCATCCAGGGGCTGGGGCTGGACGCCTGCCCGCCCTCACGCAGTGGCCTCGGAGCCCCGGCAGGTCCTGTGTGCCCTGTCCACCAGTTTTGCCAGCGCCATGTGACAGCTTACATTGTGCATTTCTCACAGGAGGTATAAGGTTCTGTGACCTTTTCCTCACATCAAGGGCAGCAAAGTAAACTTCAAAAGCCTTTTAGACATTCAAATGTAAAAAACTGTTCTGGAAGCAAATGTCAGAAGTGTAGCAGAAAGGCGTTTCTTACAGCAAGCTAGGGGACTCACCGGATTTTCCCTAACATAACGTATAATCTAGAAAAATGAAGCAAAATTTTATAAAAACAAAAATGTTATGCTCCAAATAAAGCCCAGCATATATGACAGTACCTTATATACAGCAGAGCCTCTGTTTAGAACCAGGGCACTTTTCGATGTCAACCATCCCCTGTCTGTACAGCAGGTGAGAAGAAAACATAGTTTTCTTGCATTTAAAACTGAAGAATAGTAAATGAAAATGACTCGCTGAGACCGAGTGGAACTGGAAAGATGCCGGCACCCAGCCCTTTTCTCCTTCACCGATTTAGCAAGTTACATTTCTTCAAGTGTGGAGATGCAGCAGCTGCCAGCTTTTTGGTTCAGCAACTGAGTCTGCGTCGCAGCCGCAGAGGAGGCTGTGGCCGGTTCATTTCCATTTGCTGCTCTGCAAGGGAACATCACAGACCACCATCCCGGTGGACAAAGTCTAAGGTCACACCTGCAGCACCTGTGCCCAAGCTGAAGCTCTGATCCTTGCATTGCAGTCTCAAGACTTCCTCTTCTTCCAGAACCCCAAAGTAGCAGTAATTATTATTTAGGGCACAGGTCGTTCCTATAAAGACGGGAGTTGAGGGCGCCTGCTGCTGTCAGGAATAGGAGTCTCTGAGGTCGAAACCTGGAGGCTCTGTGGCCTTCCCTCAGCCTCGGAGGGTGTGGAAGACCCTCCGATAGGAGCGCCTGAAGGTGGGGCTGGAGAAGCAGTAGACCACGGGGTTGAGCACGCTCTGCAGGTAGGTGAGGCTGCCCGTGACATCCCAGGTGTGCGCTACTGCACACAGGGCCTGGAAGCTCCCCAGGTTCTGGAAGGTGTGCATCAGGACTCTGGCCAGAAAGCACAGAGTGAACAGCACCACCACCACGGTGACCAGCGCCTCAGTCTGCTGAAGCTTGGGCTGTTTCTCCGGCTCCCGGAGTCTTTTCTGGAGAGCCCTGATGATGCCTGCATTGCGGAACATGATGAGGCCAAAGGGGAGGACCAACTGAAGGAAGAAGAGTGCTTCATGCCAGATTCCGCTGAAGGAGCCGTAAGCCCAGTTTGCCCTGGGGTAGAAACTGAGGCACCGGGTGGAGTTCTGGGCAGCCTCGGAGATGAGCAAGCCTGGGTAGGTGAGGGCGACCATCAGGAGCCACATGAAGCCCGAGACTCCCAGGGCCGCCCAAAGAGACAGCAGATTGACTTTGAGCCGAGGATGGACCACACGGAGGTACTGGTCCAAGGCTACGGCGGCCAGGAAGGCCACCTCGACGCCACGGCTGAGGTCCAGCAGGAAGTGCAGGACCCGGCAGCCCTCGTCACCCAGATGCCAAGCCTCGAGGCTCAGGTATAAGGCAGCCAGGAACGGCAGGACCCCAACCAGCAGCAGGTCGGCCAGGGCCAGCTTGCGCAGGTAGACAGCATAAGGCTTCCACACCTTGATCCGGAACAGGAAGGTCCACAGCGTCACCGCGTTGCCCAGCAGGCCCAGCCCACACTCCAGTGCCAGCAGGACACCCACAGCTGTGGCCACCACAGCGCTGGGGGCTGAGCAGTTTGGGGGCAGCATCTCCCGGCCGTGCTGGGCTGCAGGCACAGCTGCAGCAGATGCAGGAGAAACTCTGTGTGCCTTCTTACGAAATGAAAGAAAAGGCCTTTTCCTGCCACGAGGAGATGGGGTCTGTATTTCCCCAACAAGAAGAGTTCCTTAGCCAGTAGCAAAATAGAGTCCATAGCAAACCAAAATTTGTCTGGGGAAAGAGGATGAGCAGAGGAGGGAAAAGCCCCTTGTAGTTGTGTTCTGTTTTCTTCTGCCACAATAAAAGGGGAAATAGTGTTTCACTTCACATCACCGGGCTGCAAAGCTGAGGGATGATGCCCTACAATGTCTGGGGACCAGGCTTTGCATCCACAGTCATGTAAGCAGGAACATGAAACGTTTAATTACGCAAGGACTCCTATGTCTGCATACAGTTAAAATACAACGACATAAAAAAGATGCTTCTCTGAGTATGTTTCATGGCAAGGTTTCTTCTTCCTTTTCATACATAAAGGACGCTTGCTGGGATCGTTCTGTGTGGGGTTTCACTTTACCCACTGGTCAGATGTGGTCCCCACGTTTACTTGAGATTTGAGACAATGTGCTCATTCCATAGCTGATGGTTTCACTTGTACTTGTATTTTGTTAAATACAAATTTATTTTGTTTTCTCAGCTGGAGTCTTTCCTACCTAGTACACAACCTATGTTGGGATCTGGACTGGCAGGGCCTGGGGTCAGCCCTGGAAGCATGGAATCTATGGCTTGTCAAGGTGCATAGACTCTACTAGAAAGTTAAGTTCATGAGCCAGGGACATACTCCACACATCCATGTGTCGCTATTGACAGACAATGCCTTGACACACAGCGTTATCAATCAGCATTTGTGGGATGAATAAATGTATGCAGACATCGTTACCCTCTGTCAACCCTGATACATCTTAATCCTACCCGCCGATGACCCTATTATACTTGGCTCTCACCCAGTATTGACCTAATTCACCTTGGTCCTCACCCAATGCTGACCTTACTTCATCTCGATCTTTACCCGTTTTTGACCTTAATACATCTTGGTCTCCACCCACAGAAAATCCTAATTTATCTCGGTCCTAACCACTCTTGACCCTACTTCCTCTTGATCTTTACCAGCTGGTGACCCTGCTTCATCCTGGGCCTTACCCATGTTGACCCTAATTTATGTTGGTCCCCTCCCGCTGTTGTCTTTGATTTATCTTGGTTCCATTCAGCCTGGTTTGAATTTTGGAGTCAAGTAGACTTTAGTTATCATTTTTCTTTCTCCATTTATAGCAGTGTGGTTTTGGAAGGACAACTTAACTTCTCTGTACTCCAGGCTATTCACCTGAGAGGTGAAGATGGTGACAACTTTTGCACAGTTCTCATGAGCAGTCAAGGTGCTGTGATGGGGAAAGCACCTAGCACCCTGTCTGGACACTGTAGGCTGGATGCGCTCACTAGGGTATTGATTAACGCCTCTCTGATGCCTCGGCTTAGACACTTATTTTTCAGCTTCTAATACAATAAAACTCTTTTGCAGTAAGTATGAGTTCCATGGTGTTTTCATGACTTCAGTTATAAAATCCAAGTTTAAGGCTTTAAGGCTGCCATCATTGTTATTGGTAAAGTACACCGCGTTATATACCGTCACTGTTATTAGTAAAGTATACTGTGTTATATACTGTCACTGTTATTAGTAAAGTATACTACGTTATATACCGTCACTGTTATTAGTAAAGTATACTACGTTATATACCGTCACTGTTATTAGTAAAGTATACTGTGTTATATACCGTCACTGTTATTAGTAAAGTATACTGTGTTATATACCGTCACTGTTATTAGTAAAGTATACTGTGTTATATACCGTCACTGTTATTAGTAAAGTATACTGTGTTATATACCGTCACTGTTATTAGTAAAGTATACTGTGTTATATACCGTCACTGTTATTAGTAAAGTATACTGTGTTATATACCGTAGCTGTTATTAGTAAAGTATACTGTGTTATATACCGTCACTGTTATTAGTAAAGTATACTGTGTTATATACCGTCACTGTTATTAGTAAAGTATACTGTGTTATATACCGTCACTGTTATTAGTAAAGTATACTGTGTTATATACCGTCACTGTTATTAGTAAAGTATACTGTGTTATATACCGTCACTGTTATTAGTAAAGTATACTGTGTTATATACCGTCACTGTTATTAGTAAAGTATACTACGTTATATACCGTCACTGTTATTAGTAAAGTATACTGTGTTATATACCGTCACTGTTATTAGTAAAGTATACTGTGTTATATACCGTCACTGTTATTAGTAAAGTATACTACGTTATATACCGTCACTGTTATTAGTAAAGTATACTGCGTTATATACCGTCACTGTTATTAGTAAAGTATACTACGTTATATACCGTCACTGTTATTAGTAAAGTATACTACGTTATATACCGTCACTGTTATTAGTAAAGTATACTGTGTTATATACCGTCACTGTTATTAGTAAAGTATACTGTGTTATATACCGTCACTGTTATTAGTAAAGTATACTGTGTTATATACCGTCACTGTTATTAGTAAAGTATACTGTGTTATATACCGTCACTGTTATTAGTAAAGTATACTGTGTTATATACCGTCACTGTTATTAGTAAAGTATACTGTGTTATATACCGTCACTCTTATTAGTAAAGTATACTGTGTTATATACCGTCACTCTTATTAGTAAAGTATACTGTGTTATATACCGTCACTGTTATTAGTAAAGTATACTGTGTTATATACCGTCACTGTTATTAGTAAAGTATACTGTGTTATATACCGTCACTGTTATTAGTAAAGTATACTGTGTTATATACCGTCACTGTTATTAGTAAAGTATACTGTGTTATATACCGTCACTGTTATTAGTAAAGTATACTACGTTATATACCGTCACTGTTATTAGTAAAGTATACTGTGTTATATACCGTCACTGTTATTAGTAAAGTATACTGTGTTATATACCGTCACTGTTATTAGTAAAGTATACTGTGTTATATACCGTCACTGTTATTAGTAAAGTATACTACGTTATATACCGTCACTGTTATTAGTAAAGTATACTGTGTTATACACCGTCACTGTTATTAGTAAAGTATACTACTACTGCGTTATATACCGTCACTGTTATTAGTAAAGTATACTGTGTTATATACCGTCACTGTTATTAGTAAAGTATACTGTGTTATATACCGTCACTGTTATTAGTAAAGTATACTGTGTTATATACCGTCACTGTTATTAGTAAAGTATACTGTGTTATATACCGTCACTGTTATTAGTAAAGTATACTGTGTTATACACCGTCACTGTTATTAGTAAAGTATACTACGTTATACACCGTCACTGTTATTAGTAAAGTATACTGTGTTATATACCGTCACTGTTATTAGTAAAGTATACTGTGTTATATACCGTCACTGTTATTAGTAAAGTATACTGTGTTATATACCGTCACTGTTATTAGTAAAGTATACTGTGTTATATACCGTCACTGTTATTAGTAAAGTATACTGTGTTATATACCGTCACTGTTATTAGTAAAGTATACTGTGTTATATACCGTCACTGTTATTAGTAAAGTATACTGTGTTATATACCGTCACTGTTATTAGTAAAGTATACTGTGTTATATACCATCACTGTTATTAGTAAAGTATACTGTGTTATATACCGTCACTGTTATTAGTAAAGTATACTACGTTATATACCGTCACTGTTATTAGTAAAGTATACTGTGTTATATACCGTCACTGTTATTAGTAAAGTATACTGTGTTATATACCGTCACTGTTATTAGTAAAGTATACTGTGTTATATACCGTCACTGTTATTAGTAAAGTATACTACGTTATATACCATCACTGTTATTAGTAAAGTATACTACGTTATATACCATCACTGTTATTAGTAAAGTATACTGTGTTATATACCGTCACTGTTATTAGTAAAGTATACTGTGTTATATACCGTCACTGTTATTAGTAAAGTATACTGTGTTATACACCGTCACTGTTATTAGTAAAGTATACTACGTTATATACCGTCACTGTTATTAGTAAAGTATACTGTGTTATATACCGTCACTGTTATTAGTAAAGTATACTGTGTTATATACCGTCACTGTTATTAGTAAAGTATACTGTGTTATATACCGTCACTGTTATTAGTAAAGTATACTGTGTTATATACTGTCACTGTTATTAGTAAAGTATACTACGTTATATACCGTCACTGTTATTAGTAAAGTATACTACGTTATATACCATCACTGTTATTAGTAAAGTATACTACGTTATATACCATCACTGTTATTAGTAAAGTATACTGTGTTATATACCGTCACTGTTATTAGTAAAGTATACTGTGTTATATACCGTCACTGTTATTAGTAAAGTATACTGTGTTATATACCGTCACTGTTATTAGTAAAGTATACTGTGTTATACACCGTCACTGTTATTAGTAAAGTATACTACGTTATACACCGTCACTGTTATTAGTAAAGTATACTGTGTTATATACCGTCACTGTTATTAGTAAAGTATACTGTGTTATATACCGTCACTGTTATTAGTAAAGTATACTGTGTTATATACCGTCACTGTTATTAGTAAAGTATACTGTGTTATATACCGTCACTGTTATTAGTAAAGTATACTGTGTTATATACCGTCACTGTTATTAGTAAAGTATACTACGTTATATACCGTCACTGTTATTAGTAAAGTATACTACGTTATATACCGTCACTGTTATTAGTAAAGTATACTGTGTTATATACCGTCACTGTTATTAGTAAAGTATACTGTGTTATATACCGTCACTGTTATTAGTAAAGTATACTGTGTTATATACCGTCACTGTTATTAGTAAAGTATACTGTGTTATATACCGTCACTGTTATTAGTAAAGTATACTGTGTTATATACCGTCACTGTTATTAGTAAAGTATACTGTGTTATATA